ACACAATGGAACAGACAATGGGTATTAAGTGGAGTCCAGAACAAGAACCTGGCATAGTTGCACCCGGCTGGCGGGAATATTCCAGTAATTAACACAGAGTACTGACCCTTATAACCGGGGAAGTCTTCGTATTCTTGGTACGTAATTGTACAAAAAAGTTAAAATTTATCTGGCATGCTAACCAAATTTCGAATTTTATTACCTGGGATCCTTCCTTATAATTTGGATTTATTGTTTGTTCATTCCACGGATTCCAAAGATTATCACGAAACGAAGTGACAACTGTTCGACAAAATTCTCGTCGCTTTCTCAGATTTTTTCCAAAAGGTGATGGCTTGATCGGATGGTAGTAGAGTAAATTGGCATTGTATAAATCGGACCAGTGATATCGTTTATGCCAGACGTGAAGACCAGATGGCAAGTCTCTGCTAATCAATTTTTCTTTATCTGTCACAAATTGCAAAACTTTATCCGAATAAGCTGAGAGTTTCCAACATAGCGATAGTGAGGTAATATCAGTGTGATATATTTGAGTACGCTCGATTTTTCAGAATAACTCCTGTTGAGGAAAGTCCTGCATTATTTGTAAAATAACACAGTTTTCTTCTTTTTTTTTTTTGATTTTATTATTTATAATATCGAAGTCGAGAAGAAAATTAATGTGTTACTTTTATCGAGAGGTAAAGACAGCTGAAAACAATCTTACTATACCATTCCCAACACTAATCATTAGCTCGCAGAGGTGTTTATGGTTCCTTATCTATATAACACATATGAATACAGTCAAGATCATTAGAAGTGATAAAAAACTAAGACAGTTTGCACAGTTTTTGTGGAGCTACAATTTCAGAAAAATTGCTGGGATGCTCCGACAAGCCGGAAAGCAATTTTTTCCGGAATACTTATGAAATCCAGAGAATTTCCTTTGATATGTGCAGCAACTTTCAAAAAATTGCATGTTTTGGATTTTGCCCAATTATGTGCTCTTGGCAATGAGATCCTGAAAACTGGAACTTACAAATCTCCGGTGCTGTAAATATTTAGCCATTTTAGACCAGCGCCAATTTTTGGTACAGCGATCTCGTGAAATACACGACCATCAAACATTAACTCAGCAAGCTGGTAAAAAACGGTGAAATTTTGTGCTGGAACGAAGTACCAATCGGCAGTTCCCCAAACACTAGCCATTGCGAGCACTCCAAAACCATCAACGACCTGTTCAAAAATTAGCACAAAAGGGTTTATAAGTATGAAAGCATACAGTCATGTAAATGGGAAGAAAAAAATACGACTTTTTTTTAGCACAAATATATATAATTTCTTTTAGCAAATTTAACAATTTAGTTTAGTATCTCCAATAAATTTTACATTTTCTATATTGATAGTTAATTTTTAGCACTGGAATACTAATTATCGAATAGAAAGCCACTTTTAATTTGAATTTTGTTAATTAACGAGCAGAAAGGATTTCTTAAACAGAAGGCATTTTTTTTCTCAAAAAACCCAGCTTCCTTATTGCTCCATTTCACCAATCTTCAAATTGTATAGGACTGATGATTCTAAAACAAATTAGG